CTACAACAAACACCGATAGTCAACCATCTCCAGCAGGATAACTTTTTTAATACAAAGCGAGGTACAAACTGCATACTGAATGGCTCCGAATATAACTGTGATAGTGGCCCTACAGAATTTTTACACTTTACTCAAGAGACGGTAAACAACAAAAATAACAATCCGACCGTTACTGACAAAGCGGCAGGAGGACGAACTGAGCAACACTCACTGTCTCTGTCGCATTTGATATCTGCAGGCAATTTATCTATTGCACCGAGCCCGGCCAGTATGCGCGTGGAGGAGCCCACTGCGGTTTCGGCTGTCGAAACCGCGGTACAAATCTATGGCGCCTCAGCCACTGCTGTGACTAATACCTCTGCAGGTGTCGGTGCAGAGAACGATCAGCTGATACAATCACCGCAATTGCAAAGCGCTTTGAATAGGCGGGATGAAGATTGGCAAATTGTACAGAGGAAAAAGCGTCAAAACAGATTTTTAGGTAGAAAAGGAACGTGCACCGTTATTGAAATTAGTTTTAAGGTTGCAAATACCAGTGTTCCTATCTTTATAAATAATGTGCACCAAGAAACATGTGAAGAAGACATAGTATCCTACATAAAAAGAAAACGAATGTGGAATTGACCCTTCATAAGATCAAATCCAAGCAACAGAGAGAAAACAACTCATATAAAATATATGTACCTAATAATAATTTAAGTTTGTTCTTGGACTGTAACCTGTGGCCCAATGGTATAACATTCCGTCGTTTTGTTGAATTTAGCAAGAGACATTCAAACAGACAAGAGAATTCTGATACTGGCGCAAAAATAATGAACTAAAATGGATAGTACGACTAACAATATTAATTTAAAATTAATTAGCTTTAATTGTAAGTCTTTCAAAAGATCCATTGACGAAGTAAAAGTGCTTGGTCAAAGTGCTGATATTATTGCGCTGCAAGAAACTTGGCTCCTACCTCACGAAATACCGGAACTTGGCAAAATAAGCAACGACTTTGGTTTTTGCGGTAAATCAGCTGTGGGCATATCTAGTGGAATACTGTGTGGGCGACCGTACGGTGGCGTAGCACTGTTATGGAAAAACAGTAAGTTTAAATGTGTGTCTGTGATTCCATGTGAAAGTAATCGAATTAGTGCGATCAATGCGTGTGTGTTGGAACGGCTAATACTTATTTTCACTGTTTATATGCCTACAGACTCATCTGACAATCTCTTCGAATATGTTCAATGTTTAAGTGAAATTGCATCTATAGTTGAAAGTTGCAATATCGAAACCGTATATATTTTAGGAGATTTTAACGCTCACCCCGGGGGATTGTTTGGTAATGAACTTTTAGACTTCTGTAGTGAACAAAATTGGACATGTGTGGATATTCAAATGTTAGGTATAGATTCCAATGCATACACTTTTGTTAGTGAAGCGCACGGAAGCCATAGATTGCTTGATCACTGTGTTGTTACTGAAGCTACACTAAGCAAGGTGCTAACGGTAAAAGTACATTATGGTGTCTACTGGTCTGATCACTACCCGCTAGAAATTCAATGCAACATAAAAACCGTTTGTGAGACTATTGAGCTGCCGCGTGCTAAAGTAAATAAGGTTCTATGGGGAGAAAGAGACCTAAGCCAAATAGAAATGTTTACTAAATATTGTAATGATAAATTGCGAAAGGTTGGCTTTCCACATGAGTTCGATCAGTGTAGCGATTGTTTGTGTAGTAATAGTGACGCAGCACACCTGGCCGCGATTGACTCGCTTTACAGTGATATTGTAACAGCGTTACAGGAGGCTGCTGTGGTCAGCTATGTTGGTCGTTTGGGAGGTGGCAAACCACATCGCGGTCGTCCTATTGTAGGTTGGAACAAGTATGTTCGTGACGCTCACAAGAACGCTAGGCAAAAGTATCTAACCTGGGTATGTTATGGTCGGCCTAGTAGTGGTACTATTTTTAATGAAATGTATGATTCGAGAAAAATTTTCAAAAGCAAATTAAAGTATTGTCAGAATAATCAGGAGCAAATAAAAATGAATATTTTAGCTTCAAAACACAGGAATAAAGATTTTAGGGGATTTTGGCAACAAACAAAACAACTAAGTCCAAAGCCTAGCGTCCCTGTGAGTGTTAACGGCATCAGTGAACCACGGGATATAGCGAACATGTTCAGATGTCACTTTCAAGTGGAGTCTCCGCTAAAAAGTACGTAGGTAGTGGATGAGGAGGTCGTGGTATCGGAGGTGCCGGACCGCGTCACAGCTAAGCAAGTTGCTCTAATGATAAAAGGAATGACGCGAGGGAAGTCTCCTGGATACGACGGCCTTAGCATTGAACTTTTTCACAATGCGGGGCCACACCTACCGAGACTCTTAGGGCTGCTGTTCACGCTATGCATTAGGCATTCCTATCTGCCAAATGAGCTAATGAAGACGGTGATAGTACCTATTATTAAAAATAAAACTAGTGATACTTCCGACAAGTACAACTACCGTCCGATATCATTAGCTACAACCACATCTAAGGTGCTTGATGGACTGTTTGAGAGACAACTTAAAGAGCATCTCCACCTACATGACGCTCAGTTCGGCTTCAGACCAGGGCTTTCGACTGAATGCGTAATTATGTCTCTCAAACAGACTGTTAGGTACTACACGGATAGGAACACGCCTGTGTATGAAGCCTTTCTTGATCTCACTAAGGCATTTGACCTGGTTAGATATGATATTCTTTGGCGTAAATTAAAAGACACAGGTATGCCGGGTGGGTTGATCAATATTTTTAAACATTGGTATGAACACCAAACTAACCGGGTTAGATGGCTTGGTGAGCTTTCTGACGAGTACGGGTTGGAGTGTGGAGTGAGACAGGGAGGGCTAACTTCTCCTTCTCTCTTCAACTTGTATGTGAATAGGTTGATTGATGAGCTGAGCGACACAAGGGTCGGCTGCTCGACAGACTGTCTGTCACTGCATCAACAGTATCAGTTATGCAGATGACATGGTATTGCTAAGCCCATCAATCGCAGGTCTCAGAAAACTAATAGGTGTATGTGAGAGGTACGCTTTGTCACACGGACTCCTGTACAATGTTAAAAAGAGCGAGCTCTTGATCTTTCAAGCTAGGCGTCGTAAGCTGGGAGATGTGCCACGTGTGCTACTAAATGGCGTCACTCTAGGCAAGGTAAATGCGTTTAAATATCTCGGCCATGTGGTTACCGAGGATTTAAAAGACGATGCTGACATCGAAAGGGAAAGGAGGGCGATGGCGGTCCGCTGTAATATGCTGGCACGCAGATTCATGCGGTGTAGCTTTGGAGTAAAGATAAGTCTCTTTAAAGCCTTTTGCCAAACTCTATACACTTGCAATCTGTGGGTCAACTACACGCAGCGGGCCATCAACGCTCTCCGAGTACAATATAATAACGCATTCAGGGTGCTGGTGGCGCTCCCGCGCTGCTGTAGTGCGTCTGCGATGTTTGCGCACGCGCACACGGACGGCTTCCACGCCGTGCTGCGACGCCGCATCGCCTCACTGATGCTCCGTACGCGGGGGAGCGCCAACACCATCCTGAACGTGCTCAGCGATAAGCCTGACAGCCCCCTTCTGTGGCACTGGTTACAAATGCATGTGCCCCGTGCCCAAGAGGGTGGCAGATACATGAATTATACTATAGATTAATTTTATTCAAGTAATTAATATATTAAAGAATCGAATTAAGTTATATTGAATTGATTTAAATTGAATTAAATTTTATTTTTATTTTTGATTTTATTGTAATTTAATTTTGGGTATAGATTTGATTTTAGTTTTGATTTAATTTAATTAAATTTATTTAATGTTCTCAATTACTAACCTTAAGTCATACTAACAACTTATGGATCTTTGATATCTGAAATAAAGAATTATTATTATTATTTTTGGGGTATCTATAAAGTTTTCTCATCTGGTTGGGCAGTATAAATATATAATTGTAAATGAAAATGGTAAACATACATAAATATGAATAAAATAAAATAAATACATAAAAAATACATAAATATTTAAAAACCCAACCAGATGGAAGCCCTCGGCAGGGGAGACCAGACGGCCGAGGGTTAGGGGGAAAGGGAAAGAAACCGGCGGACGATGCGGGCGGTATCGAGGAGCACCGCCTTCTGCATTTGAGCCTGGAGCGGTCCGTCACGGAGTCCCAGTCGCCTCAGATGACCCGGGAGGCTGACTGGGATTAACCCATTCGCAGAAACGACCACAGGAATAATTTCGGTCGGCAGACCACCCCACATGCCGGTAACCTCGTGAGCCAGGTCCAGATATTTTGTCACCTTATCTGTTTCGGCTTTCACGAGGTTCTCGTCATAAGGAATGGTAATGTCGACCAAAAAGATCCTTGACTGTGCCCGGTCCATCAGCACAATATCAGGCTTATTCGCAAGAATAGTCCTGTCTGTGATGATGGCCCGGTCCCAGTAGAGCCTGGCGCGGTCATTTTCGAGCACGGCTTCCGGCAAGTACTTATAATACGGCAGTTTCCGATCCACGAGGCCGTATTTCAGAGCGAGCTCCTGGTGTAGAATCCTGGCTACTAGATTGTGTCTGTGCAAATACTCAGAGTTAGAAAGCGCCGAACAACCGGAGATGACATGCCTAAGTGACTCACCGGGATGGCGACAAGCTCGACAGATGTCGACGGCGCCATCCTTTAGGATGTATCTCCGATAATTGTTGGTCTTAATAACCTGATCCTGTATCGCACAGACAAAACCCTCGGTTTCCCCAAAGAGGTCACCGAAACGTAGCCAGTGAAGGGAGGCGACTGTGTCTACGAAAGGCTCATGTAGAGCCTTGTAGAACCTCCCGTGGAGCTCCTTCTCCTTCCATACGGTCTCCCGGTCGGAAACGCACTGTACTGCTGGGTCTTGCCATTGCTCGTTGGCTAAGGATAGAGGGGTCAGTCCTTTATCACAAGAAATAACGTCCCTATAGTATGGATCATCCGCTCTCGTCAGAAAGTAATTACGGAGGCTAAAAAGCCGCGCCCGCCATGCTTCCGCGGCAAGTACAGCCTCATTACTGACGATCTCGGATGATGCATCCTGTGGGACGTCATTATAGTGCGGACTTTTCTGTCCAGAGCGTTTAGTTCGGTCTGAGTCCACCTAAGTATGCCAAAGGTATACATGAGAACAGGCATGACCCAACCGTTATATGCGTGCGTCCTATTCACACCGGACAAAAGGCTGTTAAGCACTTTGGTCAAGCGTGCATAAAACACATCGCAAACTGACTGTTTCATACCCGCCTCATCTACACCGATGTTCTGTGACATACCCAGGTATCGGTATGTTTCAGCCTCGGAAAGGGTCCTTATGTTGATGGGCATAGATAAATCTATGCCCTCAGAGTTAGCAACCCTTACCCTTTCAACATGGAGGACCGCACACTTATCCGTCCCCAGCTCCATTCTAATAGAATTGCTAAAATCACAAGTGATGTTTAGCAATTCCATAAGATGAGAGCGACTGGAGGCGAATAACTTGAGATCATCCATATAGAAAAGGTGGGTCACTTTTGTACCTCCCCTCCGAAGCTGAAATCCCCTCCCGGAGCCCTCCAGTAAGGTACTGAGAGGGTTCAGTGTGAGGCAGAACCAGATTGGACTCAGACAATCGCCCTGGAAGATACCCCTTCTTATCCTTATGTGGTTCTCCGCAGCCGTCATCCGCTCGCCTAGATGACAAAGGATCGTACTCCACTGCCCCATACACTGCCCAAGGAAGTCTCTAACTGTACAGTCAACCTTGTACAGCTCGAGGACCCTCTCCAGAGGCACCGAGTCGAATGCCTTTTTGTAGTCTATCCAGGCGGCGGATAGGTTCCGACGGTTGCGTTTAACCACTTTGCCAATGACCGCGTCAATGAGGAGTGGTTCCTTGGTTCCACGACCACCGCCCCGACATCCATTTTGAGCGCGCGACATCACCTGATTTGAGTTCAGGTGACGAGTGATTCTCGCGCTCAAAATGGATGTTAGTGTCTTATATATCGTGGGTAGACACGTGATGGGGCGGTATTTGCTCGGGTCTATGGTATCCCGGTCTTTAGGAACCAAATGAGTGATCCCAGTAGTGAAGAGGCTCGGGAGCGACTTTTGGTCGAGAGCCTCTTGAAATTGTCGGGCGAGCACAGAGTGACACACCACGAACCCCTTCAGCCAGTAGTGATGCAGCCCGTCGAGCCCCGGACTTTTCCAGTTCGGGGCCCTTCGGACCGCCTCAGCTACATCGTCCGGCGTTATAATGACGGGGTCCATGGGCGTAAGATTCGCACACTGACTCACCACAGCTTCCGTCCAAGGGCCCTCGCGGTGGTTTACGGGCTCTGACCACAGGCCGCGCCAGAATGCGACAGTGTCGGCCTGATTCGGTGCTTGGCCCGTTCCACGTACCATTGGTCGCTCCAATGATTTATATAGCCTCTTCTGATCACTCTGGAAGAGACGATTCTGGTTGAACCGTGTCGACCTCTCGGTATATCGCCGAATCCGCTTCCCCCAAGCAGCGATTCTCTGCTTCAGGTCGTCTATGCGCTCCGTCAGTTTTTGCGTTATATCCGGCTGGGACAAACTGATATTTGTCCCAGCAAACGCCATTCTGACGGTGCGCACAATTCGCGGCCTATTATTGCCCGACCTGAAGCTTATCAGCCTGCCGATGAGGGCCCTTGCCTTTACGATACGGTCCTCAATCCTTCTTCTCCAGGCTGGGATGGCGCTACTTTGTCTAGTAGCGCGTCCAGCCGTGGGAAGTTTGGCGCCAACAATACGACAAACTGCCAGTGCGGCGCCAAAAAGAATTGAGTCCGTCTCGCAAAGGTCCCGGCTGGCTTCCAAATAGGTGACCAGCATTGGGTTGAGAGCCCTCACGACAGTCCGATTCCGCTTGCTTAGGGGTATGCGCGGGAGTCGCGGTCGATTTTCGAGAGGCGTTATTATTATTATTATTATAATCATAATCATAATCATTTATTTCGTGGATCCTAAGTATTACATAGATGTTAGATACATTATTATATAATCACGTTCAACTATGTCCTACCCTGTGGGCATACGAAGTACAATATTTTTGGAAATCATTTAAACTAAATAAAAATAACAAAAAAATGGAACGTATACAAAACATTAGAGTTAAGTATGTTAGAAATCTAATTATGATATAAATATATTGAATAATAGCTATGTTTTATTATGTACATTTTTAAATAATCACCTAAAAATATTAAAAATAAATAAATAGTGACACATTTTATTGTGTTTTATTCACTTAAATTTTAAAATTAATCAATAAATAGTATCAAATATAATGTAATTATTTTTATATTTATGTTAATATAATTATGTAAAGCAAATTATTCATACAATGGTTGAACCTGTGACTTTTTTTTATAATTTTAACTATTAGATATCAAAAAAATCATCACTAAGTAGTCAACTAAGTAACTAGTAAACTATCGGCGTTTAGCGTTGCGTATCATCTGATTACAACGATTCCTATTAGCTTTATAGAAGTTCCATTTCTCATCACCCCGCTCTTTTCTAAAGCGTTGGAAAGCCCGGTCCCTACATCTCCTGCCTATTTAAACACCTCTCGTCATCGATGGAGCAGGTGGTCGCTTGACGTTCACGCTCTTGACTGGAGCATGTATATCATAAAGCTTGAGAGCATTGTCATTAAACGTAGCAACTTTCTTGTCCACAGTGAGGGCTGCCACCACTTGGTCCCATTTTAATTTAGACGCATCTAAATACAATTTTTCCAAATCCATACGACCAAAATATCACATGTGCAGGATTTTAGACAGAATTTCAAGAGATTTTATGAAATAAGAAAAGAAAATGAGATCATGATGGAAGAAGTCAAAAGCGTAGTGTTGACAATGTATCCATTACCCCATATCGTGTAGTGTGTTGTAAGAGGTGCCAGATGGAAAAAAATAGGCGGCTCCGTGGCGCAGTAGCTTAATATTGAGTTTCGGTGCAGAGATATTGTATACTATACAAATAATTGTTTCTGGTTTTGTGCAATTTATGTGTGGAAACTACCCGCTTATAATAGGCGAAAATCCTATTGTACAGTTTAAAAAGATCAATAAAACTATAAAAGGAGCCAGAAGATGGGCAGCGACGTCTTTTTACAACTAAATAATAAATAAATTGCGGTTACGAACCTGCTTGCCTAGGTGGAATCTAGGGTAAATATCATTCTTTCGAGATCAATCTCAGAGGGAAACCTATGTTCATGCAGTGCACTTTTAAAGTACAATAAAGTTACAGCCTATTTTTTTAAAGAATAGGAGTGACAAACGAGCACACAACAAATAAAAGTAAGTAGTTTTTGTGACTCATAGACATATCATACAGTTTAATAAAATAGTGATGTACATTCTTTAAATAATAGAAACAAGCACTCGAATCAAAAGAGTCAGTAATTCCTTCGTGTAGCTATTTACATCTACATTTTGATACAAATACCCAGAAAATATGCAAGACATACTATCTAAAATCTTAACTTTTTATTAAGGTATTGCTTAAAAGGGTTTTAATAGTATTATAGAATACAAAGTTATTGCTAACGGGAGATTACGACACATCTTCCCGTCAGGCATATCTCAATACCTTAAAATTAGATTGTACAACCAGTGCGTGTTGCCAGTGATGACCTATGGATCTGAGACGTGGTCCTTCACTGCTGGCCATATGGGGAAGCTCAAAGTCGCTCAGCGAGCCGTGGAGAGGGCTATACTCAGCGTTTCTCTGCGTGATTGATTTAAAAACGAGGATATCCGCAGTAGAACCAGAGTAACCAACATATCCCAAAGGATTAGTAATCTGAAGTGGCAATGGGCTGGCCATCTAGCTCGAAGAACCGAAAACCGATGGGAAAGAAAGGTTCTCGAGTGGCAGTCTCTTACTGGCTGGCGAAGTGTAGCCCCCCCCCCCCTAGATGGAGTGACTACCTGGTAAGGAATAGGAAGTCAATGGAAGCACGTGGTGGCACGAGACCGTGCTTTGTGGCATTCCTTGGGGGAGGTATATGTTCATCAACATATACCTCATATGTTCAACAGTGGATTTGTGAAGAGCAGTAATGATGATGACGACATATTATTTCTATTGTAAATTAATTTTGCTGCAATAGGCATCTGGTAGCGGCGTGATAAATTCATCACCCCATTTTGTCCATGTCTTCCGATAAAGAATCAAGCATCTCATTTACCGTTACCGTTATCCTTACAGCCAAATAAAAGCCGTCCCAATTATTGCCTCATAGTGAGGATATTTGCATAGATGCAACGCTTGGCAAGCAGGTAAGGTAACCGTAGTTTTTTATCTTATAGGTGTCATTAGGAAGACGCTGCTGCTCATCTTCTGGGTTGATTTCTTCTGTCACTTCTTAACACCCACGGGCACGGTACGTCTTATTTACACCAGAAGTAAAATACCCACTTGCGATCGCGGCATAGTCAAAGGTGCTCACGTCTGGTATTGCGATGTCAATCCGCCTGCCAACCGTGACGACTAAGACAAATTCTCTCTACAACGGGAGAGGCCTACTTCTACCAGTGAACTTGTAGAGTCTGACGGTGATGATGGTGATAAAGTTTTCTTGTAATGTATATTGAACAAAATCATTATTATTATTGTATTCTATTGTCATCACAAAAAATTACTATTTAGTTTATTATGTTCTTATCATATTATTTGTGTTTTTCATCAATTTTATAATTTCTCACGGCTAGGTACATCAACTGCCTTATGCTGGTTCAGCGCCAACAGTATCGTAGCAACTGTTTTTCTTGCAAACTTTTTCCTTGTTACTTTGCATCAATAAATTACAGTTTCTTCGTTATAGAATAACGAGCATCTTCAAAAAGCATCTTAGAAATACCCTTGTACTAACTTGGCAAGATCTTTTGAAACCGGACCTGTAACATTAGTCTGATGAAACTTGCTAAGACTAAACCGGTAATAATAAACTTGAAAGAATTTAAAATTGACTTCGAAAACTAAAACAATAAATAATCCACGTAATAGCTTCGGAAGTATTCGATGTTTACAGTAATAAGCTGATAAGACAAAGTGTTTCTTTTATAGGATAGGGTGACAAACGAGCACACAGTCCACCTGATGGTAAGTGGTTGCTGTGGCCCATAGACATCTACATTTATCCTCGTTTGTGTATCAAAATGCAGATGCGTTGTCACCCGTGAGGACTAAGATGGAATGCCTCTTTTCCAGCTAAAAGTGTCTCCGGTTGTCTACACTCACCATACGAAACACAGCAGCATTAAGCTGCTATTTTACGCTGGTATTCTGTGAGAGCGTGGTCCTTCCCCGGTCCAGCCGACCCATTCGTGCCACAACTATACTACTAATATAGCTGCAGCATGGCTCTACCACCTGTAAGGAAGAATTCAAGCCCCGAATTCAGAACTTATTTTGTGGAAATTATTTCATACCTACTATATCGATATTAAAGTCGACTTTTATGTTTTAAAGTAAATTTTTTCGTTACAGAGTGAACAATAAAATTTCCATGCCCTAATTTTACATACTTAGAAATGCAATTTTTAGACTACCCCTCAAGTGTAACCTATTTATAAGAACAAAAATTCTTAAAATCGGTTCATAACAAAACATAATATGTTTTCTTACGGAATAAGTGTGATAATTAAGTACACAGTACACCTCATCTTAAGTGGATGCTGTAGCTCATAGACATCTACATCTATTTTCATTTATGAATCAAAATGCAGATGTGTTGTCACCCCTGAGGGCTAGGATAGAATGCCTCGTATCCAGTCAAAAGGGTCTCCGGTTTTCTACACTCCCCATAAGAAAAACAGCAGTAATAAGCTGTTATTTTACGCTGTTATTCTGTGAGAGCGTGGTCCTTCCCCGGTAGAGCCGATCCATTCGTAATACAACTATAATATAGCTGCAGTATGGCTCCACGACGTACCAATGTTTAGAACCTTCTCTATTTTAAAAGTCACGTTAAAATATATTAACCATCAAACAACACCAAACAAAGATAAAATAATATCTACAATTAACGGTGGCAATAGGATTGGAACATGCGATGTTGCAACGCAACATACAAAATGTATATTATCCGGCTAGCCGAGGCTCCGTGCAGAGTTACGCTGAATTGGTACTGTTTCTCATATGAATTGTGCAAAAGGAGGTCGGCTGACCCGAATAAAAAATTTAAATCGAAGTTCCATATAGAGAATTTAATGATATTACCACCA